TTCAACAGCTTGCTCTTCCACTTCAACGTATGGAGCAGTAGTAGAAACTGAAGCAATAATGTCTTCCTCAGCATAAATGCATATAAGCCTCCCATCCATTGCAAATTTTATCCTTTGGTGCAACGTTGACGGAACCGCACCGGCCTGATGAATCCAGGGCCTTCCCAATAAACAGTTGTATGTAGGCATGATGTCCATCACAAGAAACTCCACTTCGTATATCGCCGGGCCAATAGTCAAAGGGATATCAATCTTGCCTAGAACTTCTCTCTTCGTTCCATCAAAAGCTCGAACCACACTTTGACAGCTTCTCATCAGGGTGCTATCCACTGGCAATTTTTTCAGGGTCACCAAGGGCATCACATTTAACGCCGAACCGTTATCTATCAGTACTCTGGATAGAACATGCCCTTTGCACCTAACTGTGATGTGTAGGGCCTTATGATTGCCAATAATCCCAGAAGGGATCTCGTCCTCAGAAAAAGATAAAAAATTATCGGCCTGGATGTTGGCAACTAGTCGGTCCAGCTTTTCTGTGGGTATCTCCTTCGGGACAAATGTTTGGTTTAAAACTTTTAACAGGGCGTTACGATGAGCCTCTGAACTCAGAAGAAGTGATAGGACAGAAATACGGGCAGGCAGCTTGTGCAATTGCTCAACAATACTGTATTCACTATGTTTCAGAAATTTTAAAAATTCCATTGCTTCATTCTCCGTTACTGGCTCATTGACGATGGGTTCATCTTCTCTTATCTGCACATCGATACTTTTTCCTTTCTCGACAGCAATCTTTTTCTCAGGTTCTTTGTGATAACATCTACCACTCCTGGTCATGTGTCCCACTTCATCTACCTCTTCCTGTTGCTTTGTCACCTCTCCTATTTGACAAGTATATCTCCAGGGTACCTGTTTATTGTCTTTGTACAGGAACGGAGAGGGAGGTGTAATAATCACCTTTGGAGCTACCTTCTCAGCCACTCGATTCTTGGGAGTAATGACGAGGGGACAACTAGCACTATAGACCTCATTGGATGATCCCTCAGAGGCGTAAACTTCCGCTTCTTCTTTCTCAGCCCCTTCTTTGAAGAACTCGATTTCCTTACTATCCATCATCTCTTGTACCAGCCCTAAGAAATCAGAACACTGTTGTATACTGTGTTTTGTGCAGTTATGGTAGTGGCACATCTCTTCGTTATTGAAATGTTCACGTGGCAGATTAGTCTTTAATAGTCCTACCTTGACCATTTGGCGCCACACCCAAGACATGGGTGACATCACCTCCCTAACATTTTTTACAGTCGTTTTTCCTTTCTCTTCAGCGACTGCATTAATCCCGGCTCCTGCATGGTTTGGCAATGGATTCTGGGCTATGTTTGGCTGTTCACTGTCACCGAAATTGATGACGTTTCTTCTTCTCAGAGCTTGGACGACCTTTTTGAAAGCGGGACAATTTTCAATAGAATGTCCGGAAACCCCTGCATGGTATTCGCACTTAGCACTAGCATCATACCACTTGGGATACGGGGGTTGTATAGGGTCCACATGATAAGGTGAGACTACATGTCGATCATATAATTCGTGGAATAACTCCTTATAAGTCATGGGAATCGGATCAAATTGAGGCCTCTCTCTCCTTGGATCTCTTGCCCCTTGCCTATTGTCCATTTGGGGTGATGCTACCGTTCCCTGTGGTCGGGACACTGTGATATTATGGGAATCATACTGCCTTATTTTGTTGACTTCGTTTTCCTTCTTCCTCATCGGTTGTTTCTTGCTAGAATCTCCTCCCTCAAGCTTCCCGCTTTTGATCGCCATTTCAATCATTTCTCCCGCCGTAACTATATCAGCAAAACTTCGAGAAGGATTACCAACAAAATGTGAGAAAAATGGAGCCTTCAAGGTATTAACAAAAAGTAGGTTCGTTTCTTCCTCTACCAACGGTGGGTGGACTTGTACTGCTACCTCTCTCCACCTCTGAGCATATTGTCTGAAACTTTCACTATGCTTCTTCTCCATTGCTTGCAGCACCATTCTGTTAGGCCTGACGTCCTTCACATGCTTATACTGGTCGAGAAAAGATTTGGCCAGGTCTTTCCATGTCCTGACATCAACTCTCCTTAGTTGATTATACCATCGCAATGCTGAGCCTACTAAGCTTTCCTGGAAACAGTGGATCAACAGCTGGTCGTCCCCTACGTAACCAGTCATTTTCCTGCAGAACATTGTGATATGGGCAGAAGGGCATTGGGTACCGTCGTATTTCTTGAAGTCAGGAGTTTTGAACTTGGGAGGTAGGACCAGATCAGGAACTAAACTCAGTTCCTTAGCGTCGAGACCATACAAGCTGGTATCTTCTTTCATAGCTTGTACTTCATTTGCTAGCTGCTTATATTGCTCCTGCAACAACTTGTTTTCGCTCTTCTTTGCTTCTTCATCAAGGTCCGGGACCTGGTGATATGGGTTTTCTTCGGGATGCGAACAAGATCCAGGTTGCGGATTCACTGCAATGCCGTCAGGATTTATGTGTACTTTGGTATGGACAGATGTTCCTTGGGTATTCGGAGACTGTACCGGGGTAACCCTGGGGGTAAAGTGGTTCTTCACTTGTTTGCTCATGGGCCTTTCCGTGCTCTGGATTTCTCCCTCCCAGCATATTTGCCAACTTAGACAACATATCCTCTTGAGCCTTAAGCATCTCTTCTTGCATTTTCCTCAGATCATCTTGCAACTGTAATTGAGTTCTTTCTATTTGAGCAATCTTATCATCCATGGCCTTCCTTGTGTTATAGTGATGCTTGAAATTTCCCAGTATTCTGTAATGTATCCCTTATTGTTAATTTTAATGCTTTGAGGATGAATGCAAATTATGTAAAGTGCGATAAAAATGCAATACAAAACTTAACGCGCAAGTAAAATGCAAATGCATGCAGAAAGGCATTGATTCATAAGACGCGATCAGTCTTAGAACAACTTTCATTTAGGACCAAAAGCATCATTTTTACAAGAAAAGTCCACTACAGAAATGGCCTAGCTCTCATGTTCAGCTCTACTATTTGATTGACAAGCCAATCGACCCTCTTTCCTACGCCTGATGCTTGATTGGCATAGCTCTGGATGACTTTTGCTTGGAGGTCCATCTCTCCCAACTGCCTCGCAACGCCACTTAACTGATTCATGGTCTCTCGGATCACGTGATTCACGTTTGTCTTCCAGTCTCTAAAGTGATCGTTTGAGTTTTGCCATTGCAGTCTGGTGCCTTGGACGGTGCGCTCGAGACCAGCGATTTGTGTCTGGCAGCTTCGTAAGGCAGCCTCTAAATCATGAATCTTCTTTTGCAAAGCAGCGTTCTCCTCGAGGCTAACCCTTTGATCCACTTGGCGACGCTGACTGTTTTCTGCAGATAAGGAACTTTCAAGCTGTATAACGTAGGCACTGTACTCTTCATTCTTTGCCTTGGCTCGAGCTAACTCTTCCTCATGCCTTGATTCCATTTCGTGCATCTCTTGATTGAGTACCTCTATCCGTTCGTTCTTTGCTCCGCACCTCTGTATCCAGAGGAATACTTCATCCTGTTTGCCTTGGAGCACATTCTCCCGATGTTGCCTTTCTAATTTTAGCTCTTCTTTGCTTTGCCTCTTCTCAGTTTCGAGCTCGTCGATTCTTTGCTTTCTAACCTCAAGTTCAAGTTGCATGTTATTTGCCTTCATTCTGAGTTCTTCAATATTAGCATGCAATTCTTCTTCTCGCTTCTTGCTCAAGGTGTACCTTTGTCTTAACTCTTTAGCCTCTGTCCTTTCGCTATTCAGTGCCCTAACCCAGGACCTTCTCTCGGACTCAAGTTCTTGATTTCTTTTCTTCTTCTCTGTCTCTAATTCTCTGACTCGGTGCTCTCTCTCGGCTCTGACGTCTCTAACTCGACGATCCCTCTCAGCCCGGAGCTCTAACCGCCACTGCTCTGAAGTTCTCCCGAGGCCAGCAATTGCCCGTGCTCGACTCATCTTTTGGTAATCACTCTGTAAACTAGTGAGATTGGCCTCCACTTCATCCTTTCTCTTGCGCATAAGCTCAAACTGTGTATTATAGAATCCCCTATCGATGTCCAACATGAAATTCTTTTGTCTAAGGGCCTCACACTCCGCTTCCTTCCTAGCGATTTCCGCTTCAAATTCACTCTTCAGTATCTCCAACTTAGACGGTACGTATTTAAACTGTACTTCCAAAGGAATTGTTTGGTCGCGATCCGCCAACGGAAGGATATCATTCTTTCGCACCGCCCTCCATGCCACGTAATCTGGTGTCAGCATGACCTCAGCCGCTATGAAATCAGTTCTAAAGGTTGACTTCCACGCCTCTGACATTGCACGAGCAGTCTTCTTGTAATGATCTCCACAGTACACAAATTCAGATGCCTTCAGACCGGATGTAGCTGGGACGAATTGGCGTGCCCCAAATTGCCTTAGTACCATCAGTGGCGCATAACCTACTCTACCCCATAACCCTAATAGGGTTACCCAATCGGAATCCCCGCATTTGTACAACACATCCACAAAAGCTAACCAGGGGACACGCCACACTATATCATGTTCCTGTAAATTTCTGAAGAGTGAAACCCAATCTTTCCTGGTGAGATGCTCTGGCCACTCTTTAGTGAGGAAATCTTTTAAGGGTGAATAGGCCGTAGAAAACCGTCGACTATACTCTCGGTCAATTTTCCAGAAGTGACTGCGTATCCAAACAGTAAGCAGCTGGACACACCCGGTGAAGCGGCTACTCTCAGCTCTTCTGCAACTGCTAAGTGCTCTGAATGTTTCAGCCAAAACTGCAGGAACAGGGTTTACCTTCCTTTCCAAACGCTCGAATAAATCGACCACTGCGGCTTCCACGTGATAAAGAACTTTCGGGAAAATCATCAAACCATAAATTCCCAAGGCGAACATCTCCATGCTCTTCTCGATATCGCTATGCTTGACGATAAGCTCCTTGAGGCATGACCAAGGGAAGCAATCGGACTCTCCCTTCTTTTGGATTCGATCAGCAACCCACTTCTCTCCCATCCCAGTAATCCTTGCGAGCTTGCTCTTAAAGGATTGGGTCCTTGAGGCTTTTGAGTAGATACGGTCCAAGTGTATCGTCTCGAAATGAAACAAGGAGGTGTATTCTTCTAACGTGGGAGTCATGTCTTCCTTGTTGAAAGTGAAGCAGCTATATGCGGGATTCCAAAACTGGACGAGAGCTTTGATTAGGGGTTCGTTTACTTTCACGTACAACAGAGGGGCGATGTCACCATACTTTTGCCAGAAAGAGTATTTCACCTCAGAATTCCAACTTTCCCAAATTTCGCGTAACTCTTGCAAATCGTTTTGCTTTAGACTGACCGGAGCAACCTCTGGTAGTACTGATATGTAATCTTCAGTCAAACTGTCGCCTTTCTTCCTCTGAGTTTCCTCGGACCACGACCTCACTTCTGCGTTATCCACTTCCTTGTTATGAAAGCTCTTGTCCATTTTATGACCGCCTTCTATTTTTATGACCACCTTGTGAATCAACACCTTTCTTCATGAATGATGATGCAATGCAGCGGTAATAAATAAAACACAAACAAAAATAAAACTGTGTTAGTATATACAATGAATAGTCAAAGAATAAACAAACAACATGAAGATAGAAAATATATACATCCTAAACCTAATTCACATGGTATCTACCCAACATGGCGTCTACCGAATCATGCTTTAGTAGAACCTACCCGACATGATATTTACCCACATGTTTTGTTACTCATAAAAATCCTAACCGCATGGTATCTAATTCACATGCATGTTTGAAAATAAACCTAACCACATGATCTCTAGTTCGCATACTTTTTGCAAAAAAAATAAATTCGAGGGAAAAGTTAGAATGAGTTTCCCCTTTGTGTCTGTGGACAGAGATTCAACATAAGATGGGCAGAGTTTCAGTATTTCTAAAAGGGTCCTCGAATTGTCCTTTGCTGGTGCCCCCTTGGGCTTGCCAGACCCTCGATCCTCGCCCGTTATAGGCTTAAAACAGATCAAGTTCAATTTCGAGAGGATACATTTCCCTATGTCCATGCGAGGAAACTCAATGTTTCACTCGTAAACATAAGGCATGTACCCCAGAGGTTACTAGCTAAAGCCCATGCGGAGAAAAATAATTTTTCTCACGTAAGCGTAGCTTTCACCCCTACCTAACGGGACAGAGCACAGTAAGAAGGCTCTAAATATCGAAATGGTTGTAACGACAGTGAGGGGAAACCCATAATCCTTTGCCTCGATCCAAGAAAAACAATAGACTAAAACGAAGGTCAGAAAACTGAAACATGTAGAACACACATTAGTACAACTATTTATTCATTAACCAAATTACAAATTAAGATGTAAATAAAACAATTCAAACAAACAAGGGATCAAAAACCAAATTAAAGCGAACTTATAAATTTCGTTTGCAAAGACAATTAATTAATCGACGATCGGCCTGACTCTCTAAAAAGTCCCCAGCAGAGTTGCCAAGCTGTCGAAACGATTTTTAAACGGCAGGGTGATTTTGGAAACCGCGTCATTTTTAATTATTCTCTTTTCAATTGAATTTTTAATTAAAAACGATGCCATTTTAGAAAACCTCTCGTTTCGAAAAATTGGAAATTCCGTTACGGTAAAATATAAGGTTCGAGGAGTCGCCACCAATCTTTGATTAGGATGTGATTGGGCACCCAAAAACATTTTGTCATTTTAAATAAAAATTAATTTTAATTAAAACGACAAATTTACGGTCTACGTTACCAAAATCCAAGTTCGGGAGTCGGTTACGTGTGGGGAAGGATTAGCACCCCCACAACGCCCTAAATCGGTACCAAGTCGATTAATTAATTTCTTTGCAACGAATTTCACAAGTTCAAATTTGATTTGATTAATGATCCCTTTAAACGGCAAACATGCAAATTTGCAACATTCAAAGCAACAAAATAGATTTAATTTAAAATTACCAAGTCATTAGAAAGATAAAGAATATTCGATTATTTAAAAATATCGAGACCAGATCTTTAGTTCAGTTCTAACGACCTTTTCTCGAAAAGTTTAAATAGTCGAATATTTCCTTTTCTTTCGCTCCCAAATTTTACAATGATATATCCAAATTTAATTAGGCGTTACTGACGGGATACCATTTTAATTTAAAATCGTCAAAACACCTTCCCTGTAAGTTAAGGAAAGCCATTCTGATAATTTTAGATTAAAAGGGCATTACCCTTAATTCCGATTATGCAATAATGTCAAGTTATGCATATGAGGATATCATGCAAAAATTATACGAAGTGATGTTAATGCAAAAAATAATTAAATATGCGATTAAAGTGAACGAATTCAAACATGCTCATAAAAATAAATTACACCTACGTGCGTATGAACAACATGCTTGAAATAATATATACATGCATATATTTAAAATAAATCTAAATTAACCTAACAATCATGCATAAAATATTAAAGGACTAAAACATAAAAAATAAATAACAACAACCTTTTTCATAACATTTTCATTTCTGGGTACTGCAAACATAATATAACCAAAATATTGCATAGGATCAAATTGAAAGCTTCTCAAATTACATATCCAATGCAAAAAAAACGGAAAGAAAATGGCCATAACATGATACGGGACCAAAATAAAACACTCTGGAAACCAGGAGGTAAGATTAAAATTCCCACAAAGCTCGGTTTAAGGACCAAAATGGAATGAAACAAAAGAGGAAGGACCTATTCCGCTGTTAGCCCAACGTCCTAAAACTCGGTTCTCCTCCCCTAGCCTCAAACGTTACCGTTTCATGCCTCCGTGAAACTACGCCGTTTTGGCGTTATAACAAACCAAATGGTAGATTTTTTAACCCTAATCTCATTTCTTCTTCAGCCTCACCAAACCCGCCGTTTCACTCTCATCCTCTCTCTCTCGATTCTTCATCTGGTTCAACCGAGACTTCGCCCTCACCACTCAACGCCACCGGCTGGCCACCAGTCCTCGGTGGCCACCATTACCCCGACGACCACCTAGACCAACTGGTCAACCCAAAACAAGCCTAAACTAGACAACCCCTCACCACTCTTCTCAAACTCCCTCTGCAACCCCGAAAACCAAAGCCTCCATCGCCAGAAAACCCAAAGATCTCCACGGCCACCGTCTAAGACCGAGACAAACCCCTACCAGAAAACTTCAACCCCATCACGAGACTAACACCAGACTTCCCGAAAACCCCAACGAAGACCCCGATGAAAGCCTCCTCTCCTTTCTAGCCTTAAACCTTCACTCTTACGAAACCCACAACCCAAATATCACAACCACGAAGCCCATTGCCAACCACCGTGGCCAACAGACTCCGTTAAGGAGTTAAAACTGTACCCCAAACCCCGAACATGACCAAACTTACCCAGAACTAGCCCCCATAGACCCCGATGAAACCAAACACTGAAACAAAAGCATAATCGATAGCTTACCCTTGGTGACCCAACGGGGTTCGACTTTCAAATGGTGGTGATGGTTACTCTTTCACTCAAGGAGGTGAGGGTTTCGTTTTTCCTTTTGTTGTTTTTGCTCTCCGATTGCTGATCGTTTTTTGGTTCGAGTATTTTTTGTTGTTTTCTCCTTCTTCTTTTTTGTGTGTTTTCCCTTTCTGTTTTCTCTCCTCTCGCTGATGATCCTTGATGGTTTTTTTTTTCCTCTTTTTTGAACCTTGGTCACTCTCTATATCTGTTTTTTGTTGTTGGTTTTCTCTCCTCGATTTCTCCGTGCCTCTCGTTCTGCTTCTTGTTTCGTGTGTTTGCAGGGCACTGGTGAGAGCAGATCACGGGCGGCAGCTGTGGGGAGCCGAGCTATTGTCCGGTTGGCGTGCGTGGTCTGGCAGCAGAGTTGGCTTCACGTGAGACTGCAGCTGGCTCGGGATGCTTGGGACGTTGTGAGCCGTTGGATCCTGATGCCAGATCCAACGGTGGTAGCTTGACGGCGCTGGAACCCTGACCAGAAACCCTAGTGGTCTTTGATCTGGACCGTTGGATGAGAAGCAGATCCAACGGTCCAGGACAAGCGGCGGCTGGATCCATAAGTTGGAAACCCTAACGGTTTTAGGGTTCTTCAAACAGGCTTGAACATCCAAGCCTGATTATTTTGATTTTTGGGCCACTTCGGTCCAGCTGGTTGTAATTTGGTATAGGCCCTGTAATAAAACATTTAATTAGTATACTCATATGTATTTTAATTGCTTAACATTCATTATAATTGCTTAGTTGCTCATATATCATATATAAATATAACCAAACATTAATCATATAAACGATAATAAATCCAATTCAACTTCAGAAAAGATCCCGGACAAATCGAGCATCTACAATAAGTGCATACCCATTGTTTTAGATAAATTTTTAAATATTGGTTGATATATTAAGACAAGGAGAAAAAATAAAAATTTTGCATACAAATAAAAGTTTTACATACTCATTTTTGTTGGAAAAAATATTAAAATTTTTAGATCATCATTTTTTAATTTCTATATCCGCCACTGCTTGGAAACCGGATGGTAACTAAATTTTTATTGAGAAACTATGTGTAACACCCCAATTTAGGGGCTAAAATTAAGAAATTATAAAGTGTTGAATTTAATTGGTATTTTTGAAAGAAATTGGGGATTAAATTGTAAAATCGTAAAGTTGGCAGACCATTTTAAGAAGTGCAGAAAGTTCAGTTACTAAACTCATGGCTTACCCATTTTTTATCAGATGAATTATAAATTCATTCCCGTATGTTTTCTGCGCATATTTCTCAGTTTTCCTCCTCTATCAACCCTCATTTCTCCGATCTACTAGCCGTCCGACCTCTGATCGACGAACCGAAACCACCATCGTGTTCATTGTTAATCGAAGGAAAAAAATCCCTCAAACCTCTTGTTGTGAATCGGCGCCATTTGTCGTTAATTTCAATCGAAAGTATCATCGGTTTTAACTCGATTTCCGTTAGTTTTTCGTCGATTCAAGATGATCCGGCCATCCATTTTCGACACCTCCTGCACCATCGTGTTCCTTGAACCGTTCTGAGTCTGCCAGTGTCTTCCGTTTCTCCGTCGTCATCGGCGCGTGGAGGGGTGAGACTGTCAAAGTTTCCAACGTTTTGAAATCGAGCTCTCCGTTGTTTAAAATTGTGAACCGAGCTTGGTAAGTGTCTCAAAATGCCTTAAAATAATTTTTAGGAATTTTTCCAGGAATTTTACGACACTGTGTTACTGTTCACACGCCGCATGCGCCACCCCTTGAGAGTGGGAATCGTCTGGTGTTAATTTTGTAATTAATTTTTGTTTCGGTGTTATTTGTGTAAATTTCAGGTGTTAGTTTCGTAAATATTTGTAGAAGGTGGCTACTTTTGTAATTAATTTCTATTAGGTGATATTTGTGTAAAACGGTCGACTGTTGACTGTGGACCTGTGTTGACCGTTGACCGGCGTTGACCACTGTTGACAAGAACTTTGACCGGTGTTGACCGGGCGTTAAACGACCTTTGACTTTGACCGAGTATATCTATCCTAACATTTTTCGGCGCTCTAAGTCCGATTCCGAAGTCTGTTTTTCAAAATTCGGACCTGAAGGCCTCGAAATTGCCAGTCAAACCCTTTGACTTTAACTTTGACCAAAAAGTCAAAAATTTTGAAAAGTCATATTTTAGGTTTTTCGACGTCCTAAATCAGAATCCGAAGTCAGTTTTGCCAAACTCGAACCCGTAAGCTGTTTTTGACTGATTTATCACCCGATTCGATCTATTTTTCGGAATTAAGCTCCGTTTTTTATGTAATTTATATTGATATGCATCTGAGGAATTATGGAAGATGATTTCAAGTTCGAGGGCATTTGAATGGAATTTAATGGTCGATCAGTATTACACGAAAATCGAGGTAATACTTTACTACCTCTTTATGCTTTATAGAACATGTTGGTATTGGTAAATGCATGAATGGAAATATTTGGTCTCATATGTGTAATTAATGAAGTTCTACAATCGATACGAATGCAGTAGAACGTAGGTAACTGAATATAGCTCAGATGACTATTATAAGAAATTGGAGGACAGATGGAATTAAATTACAAGTTCTGGAATTAAGTGATAAAGGAATCAACTATGGATATGTAGATTATAATTTATCTCATTAAAGGTAATTAGATGATAAATTATGAGAATATTTCGATTAGGTAAAATTATAAAATTACCCTTATGTCGTAAAATGACAAGAACTGTCCCTGGTAGTGGATTAATAAATCTGAAAATACATATTGATCTGATAAAACTATTGATGTGCATAAAAAATGTTAGTTTTACTTGGAAATTATGGATAACCGTTTTTTAACCTCAATAGGGTTTATGTCAGATACTAGAAGTTTGTTAAGGAATCATTTCAAGATTAGAGAATGTTCGAGGAAGCAATTAACCATAGAATCTCTAAATTATAAGTATGTTCGTTAAGAGTTAATACTGAAACTATTTGGTTAAGAAATTACGAAAATGCCCTTGAAAGGTAAAAATAGTCCGAGTTGACCCTGAATGAGAAAGTATTTTGAGGATTCATAATTAACTCAATAAATTACGGATTTGATTGTTAAGATTCTGTCTTTGTACAGAAAAATTCATGATATTCCGTTGGTAAAAATATGATAAGGCACTTGACCCGAAAATATCCGAGTTATGAGTAAATACCTGAAGAACAATTTATCGGGAGTATTCTTTTGTCAGAATTGTTTGAATGGACTGAAATAAATGATAAGTTTGAATTTAATAATAAGATTGGAAGGAAAGAAAGGATTGAAGTACACTAGATCTATAAAATGACCGGAATACCCCTGTAATGGAAATGACCCAAGAATATCACCAAGCTCAGGAATGATGGGATATCCTCGAGCTCTGTAATGATTGGAATAAAACTGAACACCAAAATGACCAAAATACCCTTATAACCTATACTAAGTAAATGTTTTGAATTAATTAAGGAATCCAAGTAAATATGGGTGTTATACTACCCTTAAAAGTAATGGAACACAATTTAAGTGAGTAGATCAACCTAAAGCTATGTCAATACCTGAATGGCATAGATATTACTTGAATGTGTGTTCGTCTTCTCAAGTTTGGCTCGATGATAATTTTGGAAGTATTCAGCTCAGCTCAACTCTAGATCGCATTCAGTACTAAGAATTGGATGTTTTTTCGACAAATCAACCATGAAGACCAAATTGAATGGAATGGAAGTACAACATGTATCTGAAATTCAAGAACGTGTGAATTACTCTAAAAAATCTCGAAGTAACTGGAATGAACTTGAATGCTAAATGAACTAAGTAACCTCAATGACCGAGGATTAAGTAAGTGATTAGGATAAGCCTGGAAACTCGTATGAACTTATATGATGTATCATCCCTATGGATTATAAACCATAAATCAAGTACGTCAGTATTTCATGGTATCGTGGAAGCGTGAAAATAAAATAAAGACCATTAGAATATATGTTTGTCTCCTTAAGATATGTTCAGTGATGACTCAAAAGTTGATTTATGGACAATAATTGTTGGTATTAATGAGTGAATACCTGGTAGGACAACGAATAGACCGGTCAATATGCATTAGTTTTGGGAGTTGTTAAACTTGAGTTATTTCAATAATCCGATAGATCGACATCGACTGTAAATGTCCTGAATCTTCATTTCTTCCTTATCAGCTCAAGTTATATTCTGAATAACTGATGATTCCTTTAGTTATTGAACTATTCCTATAGTGATTCTAAATTTCGACATTCTATCGGTATATTGAAGATCCATGTTCCTCTACCTGTTAAGATTATCCAAAATCTTTGGATAATATCTGTAAATTCTGGTGTATTCCCTACTCACATGAATATTTTATCTGATTTTCGATTTGAATTCTGATCTGATACTTGACATGGATTCTGATATGATATCTGACATGGATTCTGATCTGATACTTGACTTGGATTTTGATATGATATTTAACATGGATTTTGATATGATACTTGACATGAATTATGTTTTGATTTTTGATATATCCGTTTATGGACGGAACATGTTTTATTTGGGGGTATTATTGGAGGAAGTATACCTGGAGGCTCCTCGGCTGTGTGCTAAGGGCCTTACTTACCGGTTCCTCTGCTGTGTGCTCAAGGCCTTACTAGACGTGACGGGGTTGTACGGTTATGGGGAACCTACACATTTTGTACGTGACGGATGGGGTATATATATATATATGTGTGTTTTAAAAGATCTGTATCTTTTTATTGGTTTTTATGGGAACACACTAGAAAACATATTATGGTCTCCTGAACCTAGACATTCGAAATATTTTCCATCTGAACTGATGACTACATGTTACTACCTGAAATATCCGTAAGATCTCTGCTCAGCATAAAAATCTGTAGATGTTCGGAACCAATAAGGAAATATATGTTTATCTGTATCTGCACGTTCTTCAACATCATCTGGTAGTTTTGTATTACTGGGCTTTCCAAAGAACACTGTATTACTCAACATTGCAGGTTAAAAGAATTATACCAGTGCAACTATCGTCATCAGTATGGGAGTTCTTCCGGTGTTGCTTCCAGAGAATGGTACATGTGATTAGGGGGCATGTAATTGTATTTTGTTTTATACACGAGTCTGAAAACCTGTTTTATTTCTGAAAATTGATAAATCATTTTAAGTTACATGTTTTAATAAAGTTTTAAATTTTCTGTTATTTTACAGTGGGTCGCTCCGGTGGCCCTAATGTGACACCCCGAATTGGATGGGCTATCCGCATCGGTCTGAAGGTGTTACACTATGTATTTCATACATTCATATTGAGAATTTGAAGGTGGTGTAGGAGCATCAATGATGACATTTGCAAAGCTTCCCTGCCATGTTAGTGATCTTAATGAGTTGATTGTACAAATGCTTTTGTGCCTGAAAGTAATGAAAATTCTCAACATGGAACATCTTTCGACTACCTTTAAAGTTTCTTATGATGCTTCGCATGCAAATTCACTACAGGTCTAATATAGATGCCAGTTCAGGGATATATCATCTCTTTGACAAGTATTGTGAGAAGGTTGCTGTAAAATCTGTAATGTTGGTTCCAAAAGCTACTAATCTTAATACTGATTTATGCAGTGGTTCTTCCATTTGTAGCCCTTCCTTGCTAAAGATAAGCAGATGCAACTAAGTGCGAGCGTTCGAGTTGAGTCAAAAAATTTCAAAGTTATTCTAGTTGACAAGTACTATTTTATAACTCAAACTTTATTTGAAATTTTCTCGAGTCGAGTTATTCGAGTTTCTGTTTAAATTTGATTCTAAACATTTATAATATTATGATACAATTTGATTCCAATTTAAATGGTTTTCTATAATCATATGCAATACATATATATTTCTTCATATGTGATATACATATATGTTATGCATATATGATATACATATATCATAGAGAGTTGAGGGACTCAAAAAGAAATCTACTAATCACTAAAAATTTTAAGTTATTCAAATTCAATTTTATAACTCGATTAAAATTTAGAATTTTTTTCGAGTCAAGTTAAGATAATAAAATTATGACTATTTTATATTAAAATTATCTTTTCAATCATTAAAATTTTAAAAATTATAAAATAATTATTAAATTTCTCATACGATTATAGAGATCATTTAACTTTATCAAATTATTATAAAATAATCTTTTAAATTTATAAATTTTATCACTATTTATAACGCATAGTAACTAATTTGTAATAGTTAAAAAATATTTAATAATTATTTTATAACTTCAAACTTCAGTGGTAAAAACTGATTCCAAGATAACTTAGTGATCATTTGTGTATTTTACCCAATTTTTAATTAACTTCAAAAGAGCCCTCGATCTCTACCGTTCACATTTCCTGTACTGTGCATTACCATATTTAACATATAAAAATGAATTTATATTATTAAATTTAAATAGAATACTTTTAAACGTGAAATTCATCTCAATTGATGAATTCAAGCCCAACTCCATCTACAAACAGACAGCGACAATAAGCTGGAATTTAGGCAGTAATCAGCTTGAAAGAGGACTTGAGTTGTAGATAGGCTTCTAATCACAACGGCTATAGAAAAAGGCTTAATTTGAAAATAAATGTCTAAATTATATTAGTTTATTTAAAATAGTGCCTGTTTTTTTCGATCAATCTAAGTACTTAACATTACAAACGTTACCACTTAGATACCCCAAACACAATAGCCACTAAAAATCCTATAAAAATTTTATTTTAAAAAAAATAAAAGATGTGCTATTTTTAGGGGGGAAACATTTTTTCTTAAGAAATCCCCCATTGTTCGTCCTCCCCCCAGTCTTTGATCTTTTTCCAAGATTATTGTGCTTGAGAGAGAGCTCAAACCATATTGAGGTTTCGAGGATTAGGGATTTAAACTTAAGAATTTGAGAATTTTGATGTGTGAGATGATAACAATAGTGATAGTTGATCATTGGGTGGCCGACAATGAATGGATAGTCGTTCAACATCAAATGGGTATGATCGACAACCAGATTAACAAGAATTAAAATAAGGGACTTTATGAATTCTTGGGTATTTTGAGTAAAATAGAAAATTTTATTTTTTCTGATATATAATATTTTTTTAAAAATTGAATCAAAATTTCAAAACTATCAGAATATAACACGTGTCACATAATGATCTTTTTAAAACTGTCGTTACAAATCAAACACCTCATGGTAACGTAAACATCTTGATTGACAAAAAAAATTAAACACCATTTAAAAAAAAAAAGTGGTATAGTTTGGGTACTTAATTTTATATTAAGTCAGAGATAAAATATGACAAGGCAATAAACAAAAGTTGCCACTTTTGGCATACCAGAATTGATCCCTCCAAAAACCACTCCCTGAACTAATAATGTTATTCACCAAATGCAACAGAACCATCCATAATGATTCAAACACAGAATTACCAACATTAATTGCAAAATTTGGCTGATAAACAAAACCATTAACAGCAAGATTAATCAACCTCCATGCCGGAAATGGCTTCCTCTAGAACCTTCTGAAGCTCCTTCACTCTTTGCCGTGTTAATGCAATGCAGTCCTGCAACCATGGAAACCATTTTTGTATCAGCTTTTCCCCCATTTCTTCATTATAATTTTAAAACAACACTTTGTACGAAAACAAATCATACAAACATCAGAGTGCAAGGCGGCTTCTAAAGTTAAAGACGAAAAATATCCCATGATAAGAGTAAGACCAAGAACTTAAATGTATTATTCTTTGAAAGCATCGGCAAACGCTTCTACATTTACTTAAAACATTACTGTGCCGCAAAGAATTAAAATTCAACTGACCTGGATAGCTGATGTATATGCTAGAACTGCTCCACCTGGTTTATAAAGCGACACAAGTTGACTTGATGAATCTAAAACCATAGTCACAGATGTTTCCATAATAGACTCTTCCTCGGCAGTAGGATCTGCCAAAATGTAATTCTTGTGGAGTATGCATGTCAGTGAAAACGGAATGCCACCCAGATTCACTTTTCTCTTCTCCTTATTGACGGGCTCCCTGTCAGATAGTCCTTGCTCCTCCGATAAAACTATTTTTCCATCGTCATTGAGAGATACTACTGGGATTTCCACTGTAATTTTTTTTTCATAAAATTAAAACAAATAGAATAAATTTACTTATAAGAACCAGAGTTGAATTTGAATCCAGAGTATATCACGGTCCAACACAAAACAAAATTTGCATCACTCTAAAGTGTAACCAGAGAAGTTATGGCAAAAACAAACACCAAGTATTAGACACTCCAAAACAAATCTATTCAATATTAAAGCTGCAAGGGAATAGGAAGATAGACAAGCTTCTTATTCAACCGTGACATTTTAGAAAAACAGATTACAGACAACATATAGTTGACCTTGCTTCCTGTCTTAAAAAGAATTCCTTAGGTGGAATATAAATTTCTCTCTTAAAAAGAATAAAGGATTTCACCATTACAATTTTTTTCCCTTCCATTTGCAATTTCATGGAAGGGGAAAGTTGTTTCGAGCAAGTATTATTATATTCAGAAGCATGAGTGAAAAACTTACAATGAGAAAAGGCAGCAACAGCTGCGAGTAATGCAGCATCGAAAAGAGCACCATCAGCATCCAAACAGTAAATGTCCTGAAAATAAAAGAATATTATGTTGCTTCCATATTCAAGGTTAACAAAGGCACTATGACACTACTTGAATTTTCATATTTTCTTGCTTGGATACTAGATGGTTTGTGTTCAAACTCTTACACAGATAGTTAAGACATTTTAAAACCACAAGCACCTACCAAATAGGTCATCCAAGCAGCTTTTCCACTAACCAAGGACAGTTCCTTCAAATTAATCATGCCAGAGCTGTAGTTACACATGTGACAAGATGTTTGAGAACATAAATATAAAGAAAAATGAATCAAAGTGTAACAGCTTTAAAGTAGAACAATTTATAAGTGTAAAGAGCATCAAAGGATATGAAACCACCAACAAATTAAGATAAAATAATTGAGCAGTGTGCTTCAGCGAGTAGAAAGAGATAAAAGAGGGAGCTCAAAGTTTCAATATTCAAGACTAAATACTCAGTTAACCACATCAGTAATCGTAAGTAAATATGGAGATGAAGAATTGAATCCACACCAAGACAAAATAATAAAGTGTAAACTACATATTTAGTCACCCAACAATTCCCACCCACGATTCCGTTTTGGTCACCCACTATTTTTTTTCTCAAAAAAACATACCTAACATTACGTTTTGATCACCCGCCATTAAAAAAATTAACGGTGATGCTGACGTGTCACCATAAGATAATGTCATGTAATCATTGATTTTTTTTTAAAATATACCATGTCAGCAGTTATTTTTATTTTTTAACAGCGAGTGATCAAAACTGAACAAAAACGTAACGTTAGGTATGCTTTTGAAAAAAAGATAGTTGAGTGACCAAAACGGAACCGCGGGAATAGGTGGGTGACTAAATACATAGTTTATCCAATAATAAATTACAGTACAGCCTCTGCATTCTAAAGAATCAAAGCACAAATAGAGATCAGAACTACAAGTAAATTAACAGACTAGAATAGGATACATCTCAGCAGCAATAAACAATCTAGGGAATAAATTGGCATGCCTTAAAATAGTGTCAGATAATTGCTTTGCCACAACTGGTGCTGCCTCAGATGGTCTGCAAGGCCTAAAAATTGGAGAACAAATTGGAGGCATGTGGAAATCAATTGCTGAAAATGAGGGGGAAAATTACGAAAAAATTGTGAGAGAAAAAAGACATGTTTTGAGAAGAGAAAGAGAGATAGTAAAGCATGCAACTTATGGCAGCTAACCTATACAACCCTCATCAGGAGTTTCCATTGAAGGGGTCCTGACTTCCATTTTGATAGCAGCCAACATCGTCTATGCAACACAAGAAACAAATTATTAACTTTAGGCTTAACTGCTTGGCAACATAAAGCAGCATATAGTAAGAGAAAGTGATAAACTTACAGTTGAACCAATTTTTGCAAGGGCCGAACCATTAGCAGATGCAACAGCCCCTAGATATTAAAGGAATCAGCTCAAGCATGAAGAAAAATTATGCCACAGAAAAGTTTCATAATTCATAGTTTCTTTTTTTCTTCCTTTACTAACCAAGGGCAATGGTTGTATCTCTTGCTCTTCCAAGTGGTCGAGCATCAGGGCGTATAGATTCTAAAAGATGCTTCTCAAAGAAACGAAGAGGAAAGAGGCGTCTGAAAGCATCTACCTCCACTTCAGTCGACAAGTCCGCACTCGCATTTGGTAATCCCATTGTCAATGTATTTCCTTTTGATTTAAAATGGAACAAAAATAAATACCAAACAGCTTAAGCATAAATAACTTATAACATAACGAGCAACTTAAACATAAATATTAGGGGTGAGCAATCAGTCAGGTTGGCGCAGAAAAACCAAAAACCTACCAAAGCGACTTTCAATTTTTGAGAAACTGAAACTGAACCGAGTTCTTCAACAAACCGAAGCCAACGAACGACTTTTGTTTAAATTTGTTCAATTTTTTCACAACCTTTTTTATATCAATTTTTCACATTTATCAATCAATTACAGAGCTAACATATTTGCAGAAAGAAAAACAACAAAATTATCTCTAAATAAATCGAATACTTCAAACCAAAATCATTAGTAATTCCTATTATTACAAAAGCTTTCACTGAAAAAGGATCAAAGCAACATTAATTATACAACTTGGAGAGAGGGAGGGGTCTGAGTTTCCTTCAAATAAATTAAAAAAATATGTGTGTGTATGAAAAAGAGAGAGAGAGAGAGAGAGGAGGATGTTGCCTGAACGGAGTAGCGACTGTCAACTTGGACAAGAAAAGAGTGAGTCGCGGTAGTAGGGCAATGATCTGCGTTGAGGACGGTGGTCGTGAGGGTGGGCCGTGCGATTGGGAGGAGGGCAAGGGGGAGGGCGCGACGGGTCTGTCGAGGAGCGTTCCGCAAGGGCTGAGCGGCGCGGCAAGAGTAAGGACGGCGAGGTTATGTCAAGTTGAGAAGGGCAGTGACTGGGGAATTTCTAAGAAAGGCGGACTAATATGAGATAATTAATAAATGAGGTGACCGAAAATGTATTATAATATACGATTTTAATCAATATTTTTTGGATTTGTCAAAATGACCAACAAAATCGTAACGCGATCTTAAATTCGTAACGCGAACTCCAACTTCGCAACTCAGTTTCCAAATTCGCGTTGCGATAGTCGAAATTCGCATTTGCATTGCGATTTTCCATTTCGCGTTACGATAGTCGAAATTCGCATTGCGATTTTCCATTTCGCATTGCGATAGTCCAAAATTGCAACGCGACTGGTGGTATTGCATTTGTTTCTTAAGAATTTTCTCAAAAAAGATAGTATCCGCGCGGACTTGTCGGAAGCACGTATTACCACGACCCGACCCGAGACGAGACGGCGGCGGCGACGGCCCTTGTTCTCTTTCACTCAACAAGGAAGTAAAAAATCCAAGTCTTAAATACTCATTCTCAATAGTATTTCCAATACTATGTGGGATTGAACATTGCAAGTTGCATGCATTGACTATAAATGCAAGAGCAATACTTTTATCTTGAATGTCACCATAATGATCCAATTATCATGTACTCGTCTGCTCCAGAAACCAAAATTGAAGTAGCAACGATTGGTATAGACTTGTCAATGAATAATTCCAATGGTTCTGCTGGAGGTAATAGGCTTGCAAATAACTGTAAAGAGATTGAAGTGATTGATCTAGAGAATGATTGCACTCAAGAAAACAAGATTGTAGATAATTTGGAGAGAAAGTAAGTTTACTTTACCGGTATGCTTTATTCATAATTCTACTCATATGTTCCCCTCATGCATACAAATATTTACAAAAGGATCTTCACAACTTGGTTTTCGGTTATTTTCTACCTTTTTTCCAAGTGCAAAGTGCCTCATGCAGTAACTAATTCCTCTACCCTCCGAAGATTTATTAACCAATAATCATCGACCTTCCATTGCCGATGTTCATTCATTCAAGATAAAAGTCTTGCTCTTGCATTTATAGTCAATGCATGCAACTTACAATGCTCAATCCCATATAGTATTGGAAACACTATTAAGAATGAGTATTTAAGGCTTGGATTTCCCACTTCCTTGTTGAGTGAAAGAGAATAATAGGGACTCACGCGCGCCGCCGTCGCCGTCGTCTCGTCTCGGGTCGGGTCGTGGTCGTGGTCGTGGTCGTGGTCGTGGTCGTGGTCGTGGTCGTGGTAATACGTGTCTCCGACACGTCCGCGCGGAAACTATCGCAACGCGAAATGGAAAATCGCAATGCGAATTTCAACTATCGCAACGCGAAATGGAAATCGCAACGCAAATTTCGACTATCGCAACGCGAAATGGAAAATCGCAACGCGAATTTCGACTATCGCAACGCGAAATGGAAAATCGCAACGCGAATTTCGACTATCGCAACGCGAATTTGGAATTGCAAATTTCGACTATCGCAACGTGAATTTGGAAACTGAGTTGCGAAGTTAGAGTTCGCGTTGCGATTTTGTTGGTCATTTTGGAAAATCCAAAAAAAATTGGTTAAAATCGTATATTATAAGACATTTTCGGTCACTGAGGTTATTTTCTCTTAATAAATTTGTAAAGTGCTACTGAAAATGTTGACATGTTCATTGTAAGCAAAATTGTAGAGATAATGCTGTTTGGAATGTTCAATTCCTAAAATAATCAACTCAGTCGATTATTTCTCTAAATGGGGTGTTTGCTACAGCCGACATGTGATCTCCCGACGTCTTCAGTGGTGTTGAATTCATTATAGGAACTCTTGGCGTCTTCAGTGGTGTTGAATTCATTATAGGAACTCTCGGCGTCTTCAGTAATGTGGGAGCTGTGCGTGTGGGACTGGACGTGGGAAATCACGGGGTGAGCACGGAGATGTTGTTGCATGTTTCTGGGTGAGCAGAGAAAGCTCGTATGCATATGGGGGGCTTGTACGTCTGTATCATGCATGCAATTGTTTGATTTATTAGAGGATTTATCAATGACTTCTTCGTATTAGGGTAAGGATTTATCGGCGTCTTCTTCGTATTAGGGTAAGGATTCGTCTTCTTCATGGGATATGGAAATCTCGGCGTCTTCTTCACATATAGGTCCAATAATACATGCACGGGATGGGTTCTGAATGTGTTTATAAGAGTGCTCGGGGCTTTAGGCAATTCATTGTGAGCTTTCAATTACAGAAGCAGTGAGAGGGAGATATCGATCAATAGAAGCAAAGAGATCACAGAGCTTAACCATCATCTTTGTCGAAAAATTGAGGTAATTTAAACTCAAGCCCTAGATCTCATTTTATTCTTGTTTTAAAGGTTTAGTGTTTCATATTAATCTCATAATTTTAGTTTCATAAGTTTATTAATTTTGTGATTATATGTTGTTACACACTGAAATAATGATTTATATGTTGTTACATAATTTGAAATAAGCTTTGGACCATTTTGGAACATTGTAAAGTTTTAGGGACCGTTTTGTAAAATTTGAGAAATTTAAGGAATAAGAGTAAATTATTAAAAGTTGGTATACTATGATGGAATTTAGTATTAGTATGCTTAATTGGTTCAATTTGAAAGAATTTATAAATTTAGGGATTAAATTACAAAGTTTGAAAATGTTAAGAACCAAATAGTAATTAGGGATCGTTTTATATTTGATGTTTATTTTTTTTATTAAAGTATATAACATGCAATTGATTATTTGAATAAAACAATGTAATATTTTAGTGTAATATTTAAATTTTTTGTCTAGATTTGTTGAAACATGGTAGAAGAAAATGTTCTTTTGAGGCTAGATGGTCGACACATTTCGAGTCATTTGGGAGAACTGATAATATGATCGACTTATTTTTTTTATTTGAGAACGGTGAATTAATTCTAATTATATTGATTAACAAATTGTAGGATGACGAACAACGAGTCCTTCGTCCTCGACTTATCAACTGTGAGATGCCAGATCAACGTATTGTTGATAATTTGAAAATAGTTGGTTTTTATGATATTGCTTTTGTAAGAGAATTTCGTTTGGTCCCCGGTTTGATAAGTGCATTAATTTAACGGTGGAGAAAAGAAACGCATACTTTTCATCTTCCATGTGGTGAATGTACGATCACTTTGGAGGATGTGGCTTTACAACTCAGGGTTCCTACAAATGGAATGACAATGGTGGGAAATATTGATCTTGACGTGTTTGCAATATGTGAGCGTTACCTTGGGAAGGTACCAGACAAAGATATAGCAAAAGGGTCATTATTGAGATTATCCTGGTTGGCAAATGAGTTTAAGCTCGATCCTCATTGTAGTGAGCAATACATTATATATGCAACTCGAGCATATATATTACGGTTGATCAACATAATCTTGATGCCGGATAAATCCAGTAATCTTGTCCATATACAATATCTTCCGTTTTTGGAGAACTTTTTTATGACCCGTCAGTATAACTGGGGATCGGCAATATTGGCGTTCTTGTATCGCGAGATGTGCAAGGAGTCATTACTTATAAATGATGTGTATACGAATGAAATCGGTGGATGCATGATGTTATTACAATCGTGGGCGTGGTACAGAATTCCATGGTTAACATCGATTAGTCAAACTGCAGTTGACTTTCCTCTTGCCGGAAGGTAATTTTATTGATTTAAAATATTTTATCTTAAATTAAATAAATAATATTTTGTAAATGATAAATAATTACAGAATTTTATTTTGATTGGTATACAGATGAAGGCATAAAATAGAAAGAACGGGGTTGGCGTATAATAACGTGAAAGAGTTTAGGTTTAAGATTAACATCAAATGCATTTGTGGAGTTCCATTTTGCCGATAGAGTGTTGAGGCAGTTCGGCTTCCACCAACCTATTACAGTCATTCCAGAAAATCATGACGCTCTCTATCGATTAGATGGGCGGGGTAGGGTTAGTGAGGATTGGTCGGTGAGGCATGCCAACCATATCAATCATTGGAACAACAGGGGTTCATACTTGCCAACGCTCACTCCCATACAAGCGGATGACTTTGACTTACACAGTTCGTATTACTTGAATTTTTTTTAGAACATGGAAAGCCGTTCTTGACCACGAACAAAGAAAGATGACAATTTATAGAGTATACAAAAAATTTTGGTTAACCCGAGAAACCAATAAGGACTGGGAGTGGGAGTGGCAGTTCTTCTAACCGTGGAGCAGAACAAGAGGCAATGTATAATATCCCACCAGAATCTTTTGATCACACAAGATCATTTAATCAAGTGGTTGGTGATTCTGGTGTTACGCCCTACACTCCTCAGATGGGAGAGCATATTGGTGGTGGGCATATATTTACAACACCATAACCTATGCCCTGATGAATGAGCATGTTGGTTATGATGAACAAAGTCCTGAACAAGTGCAACGACCACAACGAAACCGACATGCACCTCGACATTATTACTCAACAACACCCCGACGCCGTCAAGAGTTGTAATCATTATTCAAATTATTTGTATCAAATTGAAGTAATTGAACATTCCAATCAGTATTATCGGTTGATTTGCCTATTAAATCATTATTATTAAATAATTAAAGTTAAATTATTATTATTAAATCATTAAAGTTAATTCATAATTATTAAATCAGTAAAGTTAAATCATTAAAGTAAAATTATTATTATTAAATCATTAAAGTTAACTAATAATTAGTATCAAATCATTAAAGTTAACTACTCATTATAATTAAATCATGTAAGTTAACTAATAATTAGTATCAAATCATTAAAGTTAAAATTTAATAATGATTAAATCATTATTATTAAATCATTAAATTTTACCATTTCAGTTCGAATCGTTTAGTAATAAATATGTATATATACTTGAGTAATTGAATCAAATATAATCTAAAAAATTATAAAAATTATTTAACAAATTTATAAAATAATAAGATTATTGCTGAG